AGGTCAATCAAAAATAAACCATTAGTGGACGAAAAACGAAATAGGGTTCATCATCGCGAGTATTTTTTTCTTTTTCACAGCCAAGACACCGTCCATAATCCTCTAAAAGAAATTTCTTGTGCGTTAGAGCCTGAAGTACTGTGTAGGAAATCTGAGCCCTCAGACGTGGTTATGCAGATATTATAACGAATCAGCAAGCATGATAACCACCTTCTTTCACTTTTTCTAACCCTTAAAACGCGAGTAACGCCAGTAGCTCATGCAACGTTCCACGACAGCTGACCCGACGACACCCCAGCATGTCAGATCCTCTTATCAAGATTTATCTCTTGCTTGCTTTCTTCATTCTTCTTCTTCCCCCAGCCTCCAGTGAGTACATAAACATGTTAACGTTTACAGGCAATAAGATCAGATAGTTTGAATTAATGAAGCAAATTTCTAGGCTTCAAAGCTTAATATCGCATTTAATGGGAAGTGGAAGCAGCGGAATCATCATCGGTAGTTGAACCCAAAAAGCTAAGAAAGCAGTTAATCTTATGATAAAGCACGATATACAAAGCAGAACTAGGAAACACTATTTATTTAATTAATGTAAAGTAAATGGCCTGTGTTATCTGGTATGGTAAAGTGTCCGCAAAAAGCGACTTTAAGGCGATTCCTCAGTAATGTAAGCGGGCGAATAAGCGCTTGCTTGCTCCGAGAACACAGTGTTGCTTCTCAATCAATGGACCAGGTAAAGAAGCACGATGATTTAGCTCTTGAATAAACAAGGTGACCAATATCCCTGACCGTAGTATGAAGATATCATACTATCATTATTATTTTTTTTAAAGTAGTGCTTAGTAACTTTGTGAAAAATTAGTTATATCATTTTCCACCTAAAAAGTTTCAGATATCAAATTGAAGGACAATAATATTTCAGTTTCAGTATTTTTTTAAATGAAAGATTCTTGTGTTCAGATAGATGTACGGTCCAAGTTCTGAAGAGGTATCCGGTTAGTCCGCTCCGTGGTCATTTCGTTCCACTTCAATTTTTCCGAGTTTCGGTCACATTGTTCCAAAACATCGTCACATTGTGCCACTACGAACTCATATTGCTCCACTGAAGGTTTCATTCGTCACACACGTTAAAGTTATCAATGAAGCACTTATCTTTACGTGTACTCCACTCGCGTGTTCTCTGTTTCGTTTCATTTAATAGAAGTAAAATAAACAGGTCACACAACAATTACTGCTGGAGAATGTACGTATACTATTGCTTATTTCGATTTCTAGACACAGCATCGGGCAAGTATTGCATTTTTCATCGCCCGGAAACACGTTACAACTGCGAGTAGATTACTTTTTCGATCATTTTAATGCACGTGATGTTAAATATCACACTCATATGGCCTCTGATAAAGCAAGATCCGTCCTCATTTTGAGCAAGAAGGTCCGTAATTTTAGAGTTGAAACGATATGACTTCTTAATTGTGACCATATTCCGGAACGATCTGAACGAAACCCCGATATTTGTGTCAGCACAAATGCTTTAGAGAAGCGATCTATCGAGGAAGCTTCTACTTCTGTGTTTTTCTATTTTTCATTGAGTCACCCTGACACTTCACTTGGCAATTGGAGGTTTTCAGTTTTCTTCGTCGCATCAGAATCAATACAAAGAAATATAAACTCATATTTAGGCAGAAAAAATTCCTTAAAGTTGTTGCGATAATCCTGTTAAAGGTGACGTTAAGAAAAGGTAGGCAATTAAGGCATCTTACGTGGTAGAAACTTTGACGTGAAGAAACCATGATACTCGTTGGAATCTGATTGATTAACAATATTGAAAATTGTCTTAAGGAGAGCCTCCACTTTTTATAAACTGCAGGAGAGCTCCCGCGGCACATCGGCGTAACTCTAAGAGTTTTCCGCAGTCCGACAATTTTTTTTCTAAATTTTTTTGACTCCGGTGACGGACTCAGCCGAAAGGCTACT